TATATATATATATATATATTCTGTTTATACGTTATTTTAAAAAAAACAAAAAATAGTTAACTAAATGATTTCTTTATAATAAACAGTATTACCTACAATTAGCAGCCTGAATTTCCGAGAAATTTCATAGAAAGTATGTGTCGTCCGACAGGAATCGAATATGTATCCTCCACAGAACAGTCATATAATCATTAAGGCCGGTAAATGAAGTTAATACTGTTTATTATAAATATGATGGTTCCGTGTCGTATAATTACAAGAGTCAGATCAGACGACAAATGGGGGAATCTTCCTGATGTATATTTGTCGGAACTTCTCAATCTTTATTTTCCAAAATTGATAGACTTCAAAAATCGGTTACGCCGTCTTGTATGGGATTACGTCTTTTCCACTCTACAACATTTTCAAAATAGTCGCAGTGTTGCAAGCTTATCGCTGTTCTATCGCTATTCCAAGGTAAATGTTCAAAAGAATCTTGACCTCTTCAAGTTAAGAGTCATTTGTTACCCATCCTTGTTATCTTCTTACCACTTTACTCATCAATAGCATTTTCACATTAACAATATATCTTTAGCGGATATCGAGCTTGGCATTGTATGATATTTGCTGAACAGTTTTTATATATATATTCTTAATGTCTGAATACAGCCAGTACCTTACGATCAGATTTCCATACGGGCATGTTTAAACAAACATGGAAATTTACCCACCTCGACGCGCAACATATCTGTGGAGAAAAGAAATGTCATACGAATTTCAAACTGTACAAATGTTTAAAGATAACAGACGCTCTTATTATAAAAAAAGAATATCTTAATGTCATCACTTATGAACCTTTCAGAAATAACTCCTAAATACGTAAATAGTTGCAGCATATGTCACCAGCAGAAAAAAATCAACGTAAGTAAAAATCTTGTCAACGCACTTAAAACTGGTGATAAATATTAACCAGATTGATCTCTCACATTACAAATAATAATTTAATATTCTGCTCATAACTATATGTTTGACTCTGACTTTATTTCCCTGCTTCGTGCTTGCAAACATAGCGTTCCTTGCATTTGGACAAACTAATGACTCAAGGTCGAGAGATTGGTTTTTCTATAATAGGCAAAAGGATTTAAATACAAAATATCAAAATTTGATGAATTGTAAATTAAGTGCTTAGACGTGGTTTAATGGTTAGCGTCCTTGTCTAGCAAGCTCAATAGAACTTGTGTAGTGTGATCGATACTTAACAAGTATATATAGATTGATAGATAGAGTGGGAGAGAGAGAGAGAGAGAGAGGGTAAACAAACAATACAATATTTGTTAAGATCGTACGCATTAAAAGTCCTCAATATCAAGTTTTAAAACCAAACTTGCAGAGCTATTTAATATTTAGTAAGATGAATGCTGAACAGAACACTACCGCCATTTCGACCACTACGGTCTCCTCAGTTGGTTTGATTTAGTAAATCAATGACATAGCGCTCAACAACTTTAGCATTTTCGTTCGAAACAGGAAGTAGTGGGAGGAGGTGTAAAAAAATAAAAAGTGATATATATATATATATATATAACTTGGGTCAGTCTTTGTAGAAAATTCATCTGATTATGCACGATGCATTGCGATATAATATTAACTTATTATAAATTCTTTTTTAAATGGCTATAGATATTTATTTTCAGAAAACTAACTTAGTGTAACATACGAACATCTTTTTCCTACAGCACTTCTTTCGTCTTTACTTTCGGATATTGATCAATGGTCAAGAACAAAGAATTTCAGGCAACTTTTAAAAGTTTGGATTTAATAAAGAATTTTTAAATACATTTTTGTTTATAACACACATGCACAAAAACTCAAATTTATTGACCACACACACACGCGCGCGCACCCCCCCCATATATATATATATATATATATATATATAAAGTAAAATTGACATAAAATCGATCATGTCAGCCAATTTTTCGCAACTATATAAGCAAGTGAATTTCTCCGTTTAAAAATTTTGTAAATTTCAATTATACCTTTTTCAAAATTTATTTTAAGAAAATTAGAAAATTTAAAGTTTATTTAATGTAATTTGAGACAAACATTACACAATTTTATAGCAAAAAAATAGTTGAAAATAAGGGAAAGGTTTCTAATCCTGGTGATTGGTTTTGGAGGTGTGAATTGTCAATTCATCGACAACTAACGTCAGGACAGAAGTGAAAATATATTCGAATTTTAAGTGAACCAGATTATTTAACTAAAAAGTAATTTTTAAAAAATAAATATTTTCAAAAGTCTCATATTTTATTGATTGTTATGTCCTTTTTTATGCTTCCGTCCCTAAAATTGAATTTAAAAAGGAAAATAATTAATAATTGCCGTATTTCTCTCACTGAAAAACAATAAATTAAATATATTAAAAGATGAAATGAAAATAGTGAAATAGCGTACAAAAAGAAAATGCGACGATGATGGTCATTTAGAGAAGTCAGGTGCTAGACAGAAGGAAAGCAAAACAATTTCTTAAGGGGTTTCTCAATTATTTATGAACTGTTCATCCAGAGTTTTTGAGAAAAAAGTTTTTGCATATTTAAAAATATTTTAAAAATACTATCGTTTCGCAGATTGTGATAAGACTTCATATTCATGATCTGTAAAAATAGATCTGTTATTAAACAACATTTTCAAAAATACACAGATTCAAACTTAATTTTAAAATATTTAACAAATTTATCATATTTTGCATTTACAATTATAAAAGAAGGAAATAATAGTGTCCTTAATATGTATTATTCATAAAAACAATTAAAAGCTTTTTTAATTAAATAATGTCTTACTTTTATTGGTTTTTTATTTTACAATTCATAGCTGAATTTTGGGTAGAGCATCGTATCGAAATTTACTAAAAATATTAATGATTTATATTCTTCAAAATCTTCTGCTTTTAATTAATATAATCACAAAATTATACAGAAGTCGAATATTCGAGTTTTCCTAAAATTATGTTATGGGGGAGGGGTAACAGATGTATAAAATATTTTTACCATGACTTTCTAAAAAATAAATTATCAAAAATAATTTCATCAATTTGTGAATGAGCTCTGAAAGTTTCACTAAAATCCAACAAGTATTTTATTTTTGCAAGAATTTCCAAATTAATGTTTTTTTTTCAATTTACAAATGGTGATAAAAACTAATGGTAAATATTACTTGACCGCTAACGTAAAAAACAATATATTTAAGCAAAATATCATATGTGTGTGTGTGTGTGTGTGAGAGAGAGAGAGAGAATATATAATAGGCTACACGTTAAAGGAATATAAACACCGCTGAACATTTTACAGCTACCTGGGTCTGAGAATTCAATTGTTTTTCTTCTCCAAGATAATCGGCTAGATTATTTAACCCTTAGCTTACAGATTTGTACGTTTGCCAAAGATATTTCTGCAATAGTGAATGTAATGAACAACAGAAATTCTGATTAGGCACAAGTTTCATTAAAGACAACTGATAACGTATTGCAATTAAGCTTTTTTATTTAATTTTCCTTGTATTCCTCTAAGTGTTTACATTTCTGGACATAATGTTTGTAAAAAGTGTCACTGGACATTAAAAATTATTTGTTTAATGAAACTATCCATATAATTCTTAGTTTTTTTTTATTTTTATTGGTTAACGTCAAAATGGCAGGCAAATAAAATGCCAATAAAAATATTTTTACACTTCATAGAAATGTGTAGGGTAACGTAATTTTATTGGGGCATGAAAGAGAAAAGCCCATGTTTCGATTGAGTTACTGTGTCCACTTTCCATTTCAGATTTGCAGTGGTATGAATCTATTTCTTGTACACAACTTATGGCTTAAATAGCAGCGTAGAAAACTTTAATTATATATTTAAAGGAAACCTTTGTATTATAAATACTTGTCTATACTTGTCAAAATGTCTCAGAAGTGCTAAGTGCAATGAGAGTAAACAATACTCAATGAGATTATATATTTTCGAATGTAGTTTTTCTAGTGTCTATATTGTAAGTATAAATGTATTGATTGAAATTAAATATTCAAAATCTTGATTTTACCTGGAATCGAGCATAGATCTCGTCTGCCAATAGGAAATAATTATTATCTGATTTTCTCCATGAGTATAAAGTCTCCATGTTTTTTCTGACATTTATTTGGTTTTGTTATTTGTGTAAGATGTGGTGGCAATCAGCAAATCCCAGTGTACGTAAAATCGAATGTAATCGGATAATTAACTCCCAATCCATGTAAAAAATGAAAAATGAAAAAAAGGAAGCGATCTGAAAGAAATCAAAATATATAATTTGATTTTGGACAGGAAATTAATTCGTCCATTCTTTTGCAGTTGGCCAATTTTGATTAAAAATGACCGAGAATTACAAAACAACGTCAAAATGGCAGGCAAATAAAATGCCAATAAAAATAATAAAAACCCAGAAAATAAAGAACCTTAATCAGATGAAAATGATAAAATTATTTGCCGTTTAATTAGATTTGCCATCTCAGTCATAATGCATAGAGATTTGTGTGATTAGTTCAAATCTAAACCACTTGTGGCCAATTCTTCTCGGCGGCGGAGGATGACTCGGGATCGTTGCTCGACTTGTTGCATATGACAAAATGAGAAAATCAGAAAGCAATTTTAACAATAAAAAGAAAGATAATTTATTTATCTAAATGACAAAAAACATGGAGGAATAAAACTGAAAACACGAAACCTTCCTTCTAGAAATACGATTAATTCACAAATATTTTGTTGGATCAAACACATCAAATTTCCAGTTAACATTAAAAGAAACATTTAAGAAAAACAAGTTAACTTTTTTATAAGCTATTTTAACATTTTTATATGATTTTCATTGTCATGTATATGTGTATATATCTGTAAGTGTGTATACGCACGTGTATAAGTATATTTGTAAATATATGTGTATGCGTGTATGATTATCACATTTAATACGCTTGTGAATGAGTATCTGTATGTAAGTTAAAGTGTTTATCGCTGTGGATGCTATCCTCTTTCGCCTCACCTGCTATCCTCTTCTACCTTGCCTGCTATTCTCTTCCGCCTCACCTGCTATCCTCTTCTAACTTGCCTGCTATCCTCTTTCACCTCACCTGCTATCCTCTTTCGCCTCACCTGCTATCCTCTTTCGCCTCATCATATCCTCTTTTGCTATCCCCTACTGCCTCACCTGCTATCCTTTTCCTTGCTTTTTTCGCCTAACCTGCTATCCTCTTCTACCTTGCCTGCTATCCTCTTTCGCCTCCCCTGCTATCCACTTCCGCCTCACCTGCTATCCTCTTCTACCTTGTCTGCTATCCTCTTCTGCCTCAACTGCTGTCCTCTTCTACCTTGCCTGCTATCCTCTTTCGCCTCACCTGCTATCCTCTTCTACCTTGTCTGCTATCCTCTTCTGCCTCAACTGCTGTCCCATCCTCTTTCGCCTTCTATCCTCTTCACCTTTGTCTGCTATCCTCTTCTGCCTCAACTGCTGTCCTCTTCTACCTTGCCTGCTATCCTCTTTCGCCTCACCTGCTATCCTCTTCTACCTTGCCTGCTATCCTCTTTCGCCTCACCTGCTAACCTCTTCTACCTTGCCTGCTATCCTCTTTCGCCTCCCCTGCTATCCACTTCTGCCTCACCTGCTATCCTCTTCTACCTTGTCTGCTATCCTCTTCTGCCTCAACTGCTATGCCTGCTATCCCTCTTTCGCCTCACCTGCTAACCCTTCTACCTTGCCTGCTATCCCTCTTCGCCTCCCCTGCTATCCACTTCTGCCTCACCTGCTAACCTCTTCTACCTTGCTATCCTTCTCCGCCTTCGCCTCCCTTTGTCTGCTATCCCTTCCGCCTCACCTGCTATCCTCTTCTACCTTGTCTGCTATCCTCTTCTGCCTCAACTGCTATCCTCTTCTACCTTGTCTGCTATCCTCTTTCTGCCTCACCTGCTGTCCTCTTCTACCTTGTCTGCTATCCTACCTCAACTGCTGTCCTCTTCTACCTTGCCTGCTATCCTCTTTCGCCTCACCTGCTATCCCTTCACTACCTTGCCTGCTATCCCTTCTTCTGCTGTCCTTACCTGCTATCCTCTTTCGCCTCATGTCTCCACTTCCTCTTTCCTGCTATCCCTTGCCTCAACCTGCTATCCTCTTCTACCTTGCCTGCTATCCCTCTATCCCTTCTGCCTCACCTGCTGTCCCTTCTACCTTGTCTTCTCCTCTTCTGCCCACTTCTGCCTGCTATCCTCTTTCGGCCTCTGCTATCCTCTTCTACCTTGCCTGCTATCCTCTTCTGCCTCCCCTGCTATCCCTCTGCCTGCCTGTCTATCCTTTTCACCTCACCCTATCCTCTTCTCCCTTTCTTCTACCTCACCTGCTATCCTCTTCTACCTATCCTCTTCTACCTTGTCTGCTATCCTCTTCTGCTATCCTCTTCTGCCTGTCCTCTTCTTACCTTGTCCTATCCTCTTCTGCCTCAACTGCTTCTTCTTGCCTGCTCACCTGCTATCCTCTTCTACCTTGTCTGCTATCCTCTTCTGCCTCAACTGCTGTCCTCTTACCTTGCCTTCTATCCTCTTTCGCCCTCACCTGCTATCCTCTTCTACCTTGCCTGCTATCCTCTTTCCGCCTCACCTCTAACCTTCTATCCTCTGCTATCCCTTGTCCCCTATCCACTTCTGCCTCACCTGCTCCTGCTATCCTCTTCTGCCTCAACTGCTGTCCTCTTCTACCTTGCCTTCTATCCTCTTTCGCCCTCACCTGCTATCCTCTTCACCTGCTATCCTATCCCCTTCCTCATCCTGCTTCCGCCTCACCTACTATCCCCTTCTACCTTGTCTGCTATCCTCTTCTGCCTCACCTCCCCTCTTCTCCTTCCTTGCTATCCTCTTCGCCTCCTCATCCTCTTTTCGCCCTTCACCTTCTATCCTGTTTCGCCTCACCTGCTATCCTCTTCCGCCTCACCTGCTATCCTTTTCGCCTCACCTATGAGGCGCGCCGCACCATTTCCGAATCACTGACTTACGTAGATTCTTTCAGTCATTTTAAACTCAGTTAATTGAAAATGTTTTTGAATTTTTCTAGTGGTTAATTAGGTTAAATAAACCCAAATCCACTTGAGGATTATTTAATTTCGTGTTTAATTTTTGGGAAACATTATTATTATTATTATTATTATTATTATAATTATTATTATTATTATTATTTTCTTTGATTTCTGGCGTTTACACATTTCAATCCGGGTCCCGCCAAGGGACCTAAGGTTAGAAATTAATAATAATATTATTATTATTATTATTATTTCCTTTAATTTCTGTTATATACACATTTCCTTCTTAGTCCCAAGCAGAGACCTAAAGTCAGAATTGGGTTCATAATAGTTTCCATTTCTGTAAAAAGATATCAAAAAAAAAAACCCTAAAAAAAACAAAACAAATTATTCACATTTTACATAGATAAAACTTTTCTTAATATGTCAGGTGTATTTGTATTTCTTTTCGGTATGGGCTACAGGTATCCATTCAATGAATCTATGGGAACCTTTTCCATTGAATACCGAGGGCTCCAACTACAACTGAAATTATTGATGTCCTCATGTGCTACATTTTTGATATTTCCACTTCAAGATCCTTCTATTTTGATAGTTTTTTTGAAGATCTTCAAAAATACATTCCAATCTTTAAGGATTGCCAAGTTAATACGAAAGCACATTCTGTTCTTGTGTTTTTTGATCAACATTCATGGGCGATTAGCTTTCATTGTTCTGTCTGTATGTAATGTGAAGTCCCATAAAATTGTTACAGATCCTATCCCTGTAACTGGGTCTGGGTAATGTTTATGCCAGTTTCTTGCAGTTTCCTTCCTGTAAAAGTTGCATATTTTCCAGTGCTGATATTGGCCCACTCTATCATGTCGAGTTTTATATTCAGTGAGTGCTATGCTAATACTGCGCAAACTGATACAACATGGTCAATTGTTTTTGAATATTTATAAAAAAAACTGTATTTGAGGCAAAGACAATCATTATTATTATTATTATTATTATTATTATTATTATAGGAGCTGTTTGAATCTGTGGGATGAAAATTTATCATTGTAATATGATTCACATCAGTGTAATTTCCTCATCTTTGTTTTCATTATAGGAATATTTCTGTGGTCGTGTCTTTCATATTTCTTTTTGGACATTTTATTTACACTATCGACGTAGATTGTTCCCGTTAAGTCTTTACTCTCTGAACCATGGACAGAATTATGATTTACTATATTGGCAAATTCGCGAGATTGTGCTTTAATTCACTAGAGTGAAGGAGCTGAAACGTGTAAGCTTAAAAGTATTGTTCCCTTGGTTCCGCCAAAACTTCTGTTGTGTGTGTCTGTGTGTCTGTGTCTGTGTGTGTTCCATCGCTAAGTATGTTGGAAAAATGATCGTTTCCGCGTACCGTTTCAAGTAATTATATGACCCATCATGCCATGCTCTATCTTTACGGGAGAGAAAGCAAACCCAAACTGTAGGTTTGCAGCCATATCTGGGCTGGAGCTACCCAGTCCTTGTTTTTTAGTCTTGATAGAGTTAAAAAAATATAACTGGCCTCTCGCTACTCTATTGATATTTCCTAGAAAAATGTCTCAACACGCTACCTTCACTGCTGAGACTTGCCATACCATGTACACGAAGACGAATCATTGTCAGGCACTTCGGATTCCGTTAGTAAGAAGGAAGTTCCATTTGGAAAGATTTTTTCCACGATCCGCTACTTTGTGACACAGAAGCTCGAGTGGATGTTTCCCCAATCGCAACAATCTTAATCTCTTCAAGTTTAAGATTAAACCTTATCTTTCCTACGTATCGTTATAAACTGCATTTTTTATCTCTTCCTCTTTCGCTTATACAACCTCAATCAGTAATCTACACAACGTAGAGGATAACTGATCAAACTGATAGTCCTTTTATTAGATGGACATTTAGTCAGAAAAATATGCTAAGCTGGTTGAGGATGCCGTTTTAGCCTAGAATATTTGCTATTTTTTCAGACGCTTAAATGACAAGTATTCTCTGCCATCAATACATAATCAACAATACCTGATGCCATTGCCTTACGCCTAAATACGGCCATTTGATGTCCCTTCAACCTTACTTTTACGGGTTGACTGTTTTCGCCCATGTATTCTTTATTACCACTGCAAGGGATGGACTACAGACAGATTTTGGCTCGTAGATTAAAGAAATATTCAAGCACAAAATTACCTGCAATTTATACGCATCGTCACAACAGTTGAAACTTTGTGATCACAACAAAGAAGAAAACATTAGTTTGACTGTAAATTAAGTAAATAATGATAAATCCTCGTCTCAGAAATTCCAGAAGCTTCTAAAATGCTCCTCAATAAAAAAAGAAATAAGTAAAAATAATCCATTAAATAAAAAAACAAAAACAATCATAAATTTGTCGGAGAAAAATTTTAGTTCATTCTCAGTCATAAAATAGTTTATTGAATTTACTAGAGTTTGCTCAGAGAATGAAATATGATGGATTTTTCTTTGACGTAAATCCGATTTTCACTTTGCATGTCTTTTTTCTTCTGGGCCAATTAATATGTGTGTCTGTGCATGTGAATGCTTCTTTTTTATGATTTTGTATGTGTGCAGTTGTTTGGGTGTGTGTGTGCCGTACTGTAACACACACACACACACACACACACACACACACACACACACACACACACACACACACTCATACTCACATACAAACATGCGTTTCCGTTCCAATAATTTATTTAATATATACAGTGTGCAATATGTAAAATGTCGCCATATTATATTTTAATTTCACGCATGCGCGTTGATTGTTTTTGATTTTGTCGACTGCACTATATAGGAGAGACAGTTGGGCACAGTCTGTAAGAAAATGAGCACCATGTCGAAATTTACTCCGCCAGAAATTTGGAAACGCCATACTGTACTGCTCCAATACGAACATCTCAGAGTGTTTGGGTGTCGGTTGGATGATAGTGCAGAGGATTCGGAACGAGTTGGATGAGTCTAATGGTGATTAAGAATGTGTTTGGAGTAATCACTAGTGATGGCGACGTTATGCCTCCATTCATCTTTCTACAGGCCCTCAGACTCAACACGGAGGCCTACATCAAGTGGCTTGAGGAGGTGGTGCTGCCCTGAGTCAAGAGGGTGGGCGCTAGAAGACTATATGTCTGGCAAAAAGAATTCTGCACCATGACACAAGAAGGGAAACCCTGTCATGGCTGTCAGAAAATTTCTGCAACCACATCAGCGCTTACATCTGGCCACCTACCCCACCCCAGACTGCAACCCCCTTGATTATTATGTGTGGGACGCAGTTTAGAGAGAAACCAGCAAAACTCCTCGTAACAGCAAAGCTGAACTGACGGCAAGGATTATGGTAGCATTCACTAACTTAAACAAGGAGATCACCCAGAAGAGTTGCAGGTGATTTCGAAGTTGTCTGGAGGCCGTGGTTGAAGCCAATGGCGATTTTACTAAATAAAAGTCTAGTTTTTCAAAATATTTTTTATGTAATATTGGTAAATATATCCGTTAAAATGAGATGTCAGTCTTATTTTAATTTTGCGTCATTTAGATGACAATTTATCCATCGCGGCCTGTATATATGTGTTTTCAATTGTATTACCTAAACTTTAATGAAAAGGATATTTATTTTGATGAACTTTTTACATTATTTGCTGTTCGT